GGGCAGGTGCATAGTGGCTGAAGACACTGGTGGCTGAGTGGTGGGGCCAGGGGGGCCAGGGAGGACAGGGAGATTATTGCTTGGGGGCAAAGGAGGGGGTGTTAAGGCATCACTACAGTGGAAGAGAGGAGGGTCTGAAGGTGGTGAGGAGGAGGCATGGGAGGCTGGAAGAGAGCCCAGGTCAAGGGGTACCAGGCTGGATCGGAGGGCAGCTCCCCAGTTGTATGAGGGGGCATTGAGGCTAATGGCAGGTGGAGGAGGTGGAGCTGGAGAAGGAGCGTTGCCCCTTGGGAGGAAACAGGGGCTGCTGCTGCCTCCAGAGGGGATTGGGTCAGGGAGCCTTGGCGGTGGGAAGAGCCCCCCAGGGCCTGCTAGAGGGGGGAAGGCCTGTGGAATTGAGGGTGGTTCTGGGGGGAGGGAGCCAGGGCCCCCATTAAGTGGAGTTGTAGGAGGGACAAGACAGGGAGGGCGGGCAGTGGGGGGCCCTGGGGACACAGTGTGGAACATTTGGGGGCTCGCTCCCTCTCCTGCAATAAACAAGAAATAATGGGTTAGCCGTAGTTCCCCTTCCAAGAACTTTCCTTTGTCTTCATAAATTCCCAACCTACCTGTTGCCCTCCTCTCACCAAGTAGCTCCCCAATCCACCCTTCTTCTTGCTCCCTCTTATAAAGCTCCTCCCACCATTCCTCTTCCAGGCCCCTTAAGTTGTCCTCAGTCTTCTGCAAACTGGAGAAGACTCACCAGGAGAAGAGTGTGAGCAGGTGGTCTCCATGCTGCGGTACAAGGTTGCCATAGCAACAGCTTTCCGGCGGTGGTTGCACAGCTTGGTCATATCCTCCTCTGATGCTGGCCCCACCCCAGCCCCACCCAGGGTCACCGGGGCCAAAGGGTCAAAGTTGAAAACCTGTAAGGTAGAAAGCATGGACAGGGACCCTGAGGGGGTGGAAGCTATAACAAAGGCTACCGACCCTGGGCAGTGATTTGCATTAAGTCTCTAAGCTTATCCCTGTACTTTCTGGCAGGCCTCATCACTCTGATCACTCTGACCTTGGGGACATTGAGTGGACACTCCAGACCGCACTTGCAGGTCCCATCACTGAGGAGGTAGCTCCGGGTTTGCTCCAAGGAAGACAGCTCTGTGCCACTTGGGCTGGAAAAGGACAGGATTAGAGAATGGGATTAGTTGACACTGAATCAGAAGACGTTCCTAAATGACAGTTCTTTAATCAAAGACCTTCCTAGAAAGGGCAGAGAGTAAGGTATGTAGAAAGAGACAAAAATAAAGAGAACAGATTCAGAGACAGACAGCAAAAAGGTTGAGAATGGAAGGAGGAACAGGAAAGCAACAGGGTACCAGAGACCTGAGTTTTGAGAGATGGGGTGGGAGAGAAAAAGCAAGAAACTGAAGGGCCTAGGAATAGAACTCAGGAACTTTGAGGATCTTGTACCTGATATAGAGCACAGCACCCTCTCGAACACAGCGCTGCCAGCCGATTGGGACAGATGTGGCCACAGGGCCTCCAGCTCTGTCTGCTCCACTGCTCTCATTGCCCCCATTCATTGTGTGTAATCAGCTCCCACGTGCCTGATAACACATCCATGTGGGCATTAGGATTCAAATGGGTTGGGTACCTGAGGGAGTACTCCACGAAGGCACAGGTTGTGGGGAGACCGAAGAGAACCCAAGGGTAAGGGGAAACCCTCAGAGAGCTGGGAGAAAGGGGGAGCCCTCTAACATCCCATCATGGCTACCTGAACATCTCTGCAAACATTGTGGGGTCCAGTCTAAAGCCGGGGCCGCCGGCTTAGCCCACACCTGCAAGACAGAAGAGAGAAGAGACTGTCAGGAATCTGTCCAACTCAGGAGAGCTCCACAGTTCAAGATACTCTCAAGGGAAAGATCCTTAATGAAGTAAGTGCCCATAAAAATCTCAGGGATATGCTAGCTGAGTCCACAACCAACCTTTACATGTGCAGTCCTTAGGGGCCAGAGAGTCAAAGCCTCAACTTTCAAGGACCTAGGAATCACAGCCCAATCCCTACAGATATAACGAGCTGGATCCTTTTGTCCCATCAGGGACAGAAGACTTCACCCAGGAGTGTGGGCAAATTCCCATAATGCCAGGCCACTAGGAAGTTTCCCAGAGAGTCTGGTCGCTGCTGTTCCCGTTCCCCCAGAGAAATCATATAAAACGTACAGATTGCCCCACAGGTCACCAAGCCATTGCCCAACTGCCTGCTTGGGTGGTACCAACAGAACTGGCCCCCCGCCCATGCTGATCTGGTTCATTTTGGTGTTCTTAAGCCTGGAATCACAGCTCTTGTCTTCTCCCAGGATCCTGAGAAGCTCCTAATTTTCCCCCAAGCCTAAAGCAAGGGGATTCAACACCTCCTATCTCAAACACTTCAAATTAACTCCATCAAGGATTCTCCTCTAATATGTGGGGCCGCCCCTGAAACCTGCAAGTATCCTCCCCAACCTCACCATCGCTCTCCCCCCGACACTGGCGGCTTCAAAACTTTCCCTCTCATAACAAGGCGCCCTGTCACCCAGACTGCTTCCCTTAGCTTGGGGAGGAGGGGAAGACGCACGAAGTAGGAAGGAACTTGGGGAGAGGGCGGGCGGAGGGTGGGCAAGGCACTGAAGGGAGGGAGGTGAAGAAGGCAAAAGTCAAGCAGTTAAGAGGGGAAAACCGTGGGGGCAGGTTAGGGCGGGGGAGTGGGGATGGGGCCAGGGAAAGGGGCCGAGAGGACGCGAAAGGGGCAGAGGGTAGGGACTGGAGGGGAGGGGAGGGGGAGGGGCGAGGTGGGGGGGGCCGGGCCCTGCACTCACCGCGGCCCATGGTTCGGCCGGCCCCGCCCTGCGCAGTCGCGGCCCAGAGGGTGAGTGGGAGGGAGTGGGAGGAGGGTCGGTGGAGCCCGAGCCTCCGGTACGGCCCCAGCCGGTCCTAGCAGGAAGCGCCGCCGCCGCCGCCGCGGATCACCGAGCGGCCTCCCGCGCATGCGCCATGGGGGCCAGGGGCAGCCCTGGGGATTCCGTTCCCAGAAGGCACCGCGCAGGCTGCTACCGCCGCCGTCGTCGCCGCCGCCGCCGCCGCCGCCGCCGCCGCCACCGCCGCCGCCGCCCGGACGGGAGAGGGGCGGGGCCGGGCCCCCGCCCAGTGGACAACGAAGAGCCAACAGGAGGGGCCGCAGTGCGCATGCGGGAGCGCGCCTACCCCTCCCCCACAACTCCCCATTAATCCCCAAGAGAACAAACACCCCACGCGGCCCCCCCCCGCGCCCCGCCCTCCGCGGAAGGATCTGAGCCTCTTCCCAGACCACTGGTGGCCAATCCCAGCTTTCCCCGGGGAAGAAGCCTTTGCAAAGCTACACTGTGTTGGGGGAGCCAGGAATGCCCGGTCCGGGAGGGGCCAGCCCCCAAAGATGAAAGTCGCGACTTGCCCTGCCCTGCCCCAAAGGCTTCCCGAGTTCTGTGCTGGGTGGGACTTGACCCACCTCCCTAGGTCAGCATGTCACAACACGACCTCGGCCTGTCAAGTCACATGACCTCTGCCTGTCACTGACAATCTGGTCTTGTCTTTGAACCAGGAGAGCTCATCTGGTCCAACCCACTGCCAGCCCCACTTACAGAGGGGAAAGGGAGGTCTGGAGCACTGGACAAGGCCTGACCCAGGGCCTGTCACTATCAGATCACCACGTATACCAGCCACCCAGCTACACCAGCCTTCTGACAGTTTCTACTTAGACAAACTGTGGCTGTCCTCATGATGCTATGACAGGATCTGTAAAAGACTACCACATGGCCTCTGTTTTCTACCTAAAAGGAAATATACTTTGCATTTTACATGGTGTCTTTCACTTTTATTTACAAACAAAACGTTGAGGCACAGAGATTATTAGATGGCTGGACTGGGATTCCTGGGCAAGTGAGGGGCAGCTGAAGCTAGAATCTGACCTCCCCTGACAACCTCAAGGCCGTCGTGCGCTGAAGTGCACACAGCAAGGCTCTGCTGTAGCCCAAACACCTAGGAGGCAGGAGGCCTATGCCCAGCTCCTCAGATCAGGGAGTCACAGGACTTACTGTCTCGTTCAGTGAAAAGGGTGGGTCTTGGTCTTTGGTGAAAAACACCAGAGCACCATTAGGGGAGATGAGTGGGGAAACAGAATCTGGCCTACCAGGAAAAAAGAACATGAATTCTGGCGTGCTGAGGACTCATAAAAAGATGCTCTTCTGAAAGGATCTGATAATGACTACCAAAAGGATTCAAGTACCTCTGGTCCCCTTTTTAGGCAGTTAGGAGGTTAAAAGATAAGGCCCCTTTAAGACTCGAGATATAGAAAATCTTGGCGGATGGATGCAAACTTTCAAAGCAGGGAGGTTTAAAAGACTTTGTGCCCATTATTAGCTGGGAGGGGGCCAAGAAAAATGGGATCTTTATGGAGGAGGTAAAACGGGGGCTAATGCCAGGTGGGCGGACCAAAAGCTCCTGAAGAAGACAAGCTACAATGAGGTTTCTTTCGTCAGCCTATAGGGCAGCCAAGGTTGCTAGCCGTTGGGGCCGTTGGGTGCTGGGAGCCGGTGCCCCGCCTTCTCTCCTCTACTCCCCCCCCGCCCCGCACCTCCCACCACCCTCGTAGTCCCCTGCGCTTGCGCGCGCAGACACTGGTTGCCAAACATTGCATCATCCCCGCCCCCCTTTCCTCCCCTCCCCCCTCCAGCTCTCCCCGTCCGCGCGCGCGCATGACTCACTCACCTCCTCCGCGGATCCTCGTGACCCAAAGCCACTTCCGGGTCCAACAAGACAACGACCCCCAATAAAGAGGGAGCGATGGGGGCGTGCCGCGGGGATCCTGAGTGGCGGTTGTAAGGCATGAGGCGGGGCCAACTTCGGCGTGCCGCTTTCTTATTGGTTAGCTTCTAAGATCCGCCCCTGAGAGGAGGGCAAGGCCTCGTTAAAAGATCACTGCTCTGGAATACCGAGGTCAGAAGCCTGAGTCAAAGACACGGTTCATATGATGTTGAAGATGAGCGGGTGGCAGCGACGGAGACAAAATCAGAGCCGGAATCTGAGGAGAGAGGTGAGTACCCAATGCCCACCTACCTTTTACTTTTCCATCTTCGCGACTTTGTCTCCTCAAAGTCGGGCATTCCCTCTTTAGGATGTGCCACCGCCCCTCTTTACTGAAGTTAGCAACGGTCGGAGGGAGAGGTGGCGATAATCCTTTATTCGGTGTTACAGACTCTGCTTCCTTCGGACGACAGCGGCACCGCACCCCTGACTGGAGCGAAGGGGCCCGGCTGCTTTTGGGAGATTTACCATATTCTCTACAGTTGCTTACCTTAGGCGTCCCAGTTAGGCCTATCTGGTGGGAGGCGGAGCAGCAAGACACACCCCCGGTCCGAGAAGCCTGTTGGACAGTAGATTAGGCCGCTGCTTCGGCTTTGCCACCAGCAGCCCCACCCCCAGTCCTGTATTGGAGGCAGCGTCTCAGTGCCAGGATGGCTATATCCATAGCTGAGGTTCGTAAACCCTACACAGGACATCCATGCTGCATTCTAACGGGACAGAACTTTCAGGAGACTGACACAGCCTTTTGGAGGACCGGTACCCAAGGACAGGGAGAGGAGATGAGTTTTTTCCTTTATCCCAGAGGTCGCTGAGCCTGCACAAGAGAGCATCCTGGATCTTTTAAATGTGGGAAGTCATTTGGGGGTCTCCCCAGAGTATTGTCCTTCTCTTGAGATTGGTCCCTGCCTCTATCTCTGTCCTGTCTCCAACTATCTCTGTGTAACCATTGCATCACGCCAGCCCCCGTTTGGCTGTACAGCCCTTTGGCCTGGGGCTCCACTGCTGATGAAAGTCCCGTTCCAGGCACTGGAAGGCAAGGAAGTTTCCCCAGGGAGGACAGTCCTGTAGAGAAACACTCAGAGCGATATTGCATCTACAATCCCCAGGGATAGGTAGCTGCTGCTCTGCTCTGGGCTTCACCCTCCCTTCCTTATAAGAGAAATTGGGGAGAATTTATCCATTTATTCCTAACAAGCACCTGCTATGTGCAGTTGGAGCCCAGGATACATTCATGAACAAGCAGGGAAAAATACCTGCTCTCACAGAGCTCACAGTTCAGTGGGAAGGGACATAACAGTAAACAGATAAGTGCCACAGAGAAAACTAATGAATGAAACAGTAGAGAATGCTTTGAGTGGGGGTTAGTTTTACATTGGGTGACCAGGGATTCCCTCACTGAGATAACCATTAAATGAAAGACATAAAAGAGGTGAAGCAGTTAGCCATGCAGGTATGTGGAAAGAAGCGCCTTCCAGGAGAAGGAACAGCAAGAACAGAGGTCCTAAGGTGGGAGCATGCATATTATCTTTGGGGGACAGAAAGCCAGTTGACAGGATCAAGGTGAGCAAGAGTAGTTAATGAGAAATCCAGGGCAGAGGAGCAGACTGTGTGAGGCTTGCTAAGCCATTTTAAAGATATTAGCCTTTTTTTTTTTTTAAGAGAGAGATCGGGGGCGGTGAGGGGGGAGAAAGAGGGTAAGAAACATCAGTCGTTTGCCTCTTGCATGCCCCAAGGGACCTGGCCCACAACCCAAGCATGTGTCCTGACTGGGAATCGAACCGGTGACCTTTTGGTTCACAGGCTGATGCTCAATCCACTGAGCCTCCGCAGCCAGCGCAGGATATTAGCCTTTAATATGTGTGAAATTGGAAGTCACTGGAAAGTTTTGAACAGAGGAATGACACAGCCTGACTTAAGTTGTTTTATTTATTTTTTAAGTTCTTTCATACTCCTTTATTTAGGAGACAGTTCGATTTTCACTCAGATTTTATGTATTTCTCATACGCCTCTTCACTTATTAGTTCATCTTGTTCTGAAGGGCTACTCAATGTCATCTTGATCAGCCAACCATCTTCGTAACTAGATCTGTTGATAAGTCCTGGATTTTCTGCAAGAGCTTCATTAATTTCAGTTACTTTTCCTGTTAGAGGGGAATAAAGGTCACTAGCAGCTTTCACACTTTCCAGAGCAGCAAACTCTGTTTAATTTTATCCAAACTTCAGGCAGACAACAGTAAACATCTCCCAAAGCTTCCTGTGCAAAATTGCTGATTCCCATTGCTCTAATACCATTTTCTGATGTTACTCTATAAATTTACACACCAAGAGCAGATTGGAGCCAGTGTGCAGTGTTCAGATGCTGCTTGCACTTTGACTAAAGTTTTAAAACGCCCACTTTGGCTGCTGTGTTGTGAATAGACTCGGAGTGCGAAGAGCAGAAACTGGGGGACCTTCTGCAGTCATCCAAAAGAGTAACTTGACAGTAACAGTGGAATTGATGAGAAATATTTAGATTCTCAGTTTCTGAAGAGTGAGTTAAGAAATTTTGCTGGTGGTTTGGATTGCACTGTGAGGTGTAAGAGAATAATCAATGAAGATACCAAGGTTTTTGGCTGAAGGAAGCAACTAGAGTTGTCATTTACCAGATGGGGAAAACTTTGGAAGGGGAAGATTAGTAGGACTTTGTTTTTGACACATGAAGTCTGAGGTGCCTATTAGACATCCAAAGGAGATGGCAAATAAGTAGTTCAATAGTAGAGCTGCAGGTCCATACAGGGAGTGTACATTTGGAGCATGTCAGTGTGGGAATGGAATTAGGAAAATGCCACTTGATTTGCTCCCTTCCCTGAAGTGCAGTCCTTATCCTGGCAGGTTTTTTGCCTTGAACTTAGGGAAAGATGAAATGGCTAGGGCTTTCCTGTTACATAATCCAGACTACAAATGTCAGCAACTAAAAATAATGGAAATTAGGCTGCCCTCTATCCTTGGAAATGGCTACAGGGACTGTTAACTACCATACCCTATAAGACAGGAAGTAGAGAAGGATCAATAGGAGGCTGAAAATAAAAGTAAAAGAATTTGCCCTTCCCCCTTCCAAAAGTGGCTAACATATATATCTTTGGTTCCCACAGTGTTCCAGAAGGAAGTGTATCTTCATACATCACCACACCTGAAAGCAGGTAAACTTAACCAACCCTTTCCCAAAACCAACTCCTAAGAGGTGCTGGTTAGGCTCCCTTTACTGGGACCCTAAGAAGGTACAAAAACACTTACAAGAAGATATGAGGAGGGTTTGAATCTTAGCAGGCTTTTGCTGTCAGACCATGTCCATCCACCTGCCCTGCCCATAACAAGGTGACCAAATCACTATTCTTAGAGCATGTCCTAATTGAAAGCTGGCTCTGAGTAAGCAGTAAGCCCCAGCAAAGATGACTGGTTTGTCTTACCACACTTCAGTCCCCATCAAGGTTAAACTAACCCATAGGACTCCCCACACAGGAGAAAGGAGCACAAATGGGGTGGTGATTACTCCTGAAAACTACGAATGGAGTTCCTCGGAGCAGCTAACCTATTAGGATCCCATAGGAATGTATATCCAAGCGCTTGCTGCTTCAAGTACTGGGCAAAAGCAAGGAGGGAATATTAGTATAGACCAACGGTTGGTAAATTTTAAAAGGCCAGGTAGTAAATATCTTAGATATGGAGGGCCACACAGTTTCCATCACAACTATTCATCCCTGGTGTTATAAAAGTAGCCATAAAAAAATATGTAAATCAATACATGTGGCCATGTTCTAGTAAAATTTTACTGCAAAAACAGGCAGTACGCCAGTTTGCCAACCTTTGGTAAAGACTGACTGCTTTGAGGTGCTTGTTCCATCCACCATCTCCCCCACTATCCCGAGCATATCATTTTCCAGAGCCTGATACAGCTGCAGAGATGGCAGCCGAATCTTTGCCTTTCTCCTTCGGGACACTGTCCAGCTGGGAACTGGAAGCCTGGTATGAGGACCTGCAGGAAGTGTTGTCCTCAGATGAAAATGGGGGTGCCTATGTATCACCCCCTGGAAATGAGGAGGTAAGAATGATACACTTAAATCTAGGGGGGATGTTGATCTTCCCTTCTCAGCTAACAGTGCCTACTTCTCATTCCCTTGAAGGAAGAATCAAAAACGTTCACCACTCTTGACCCTGCCTCTCTGGCTTGGCTGACTGAGGAACCAGGACCAGCAGAGGTCACAGGCACATCCAAAAGCCCTTGCTCTCCAGATTCCAGTCAGAGCTCCCTGGCTCAGGAGGAAGAGGAAGACGAAGGAATACCCAGGAAACGGAAACGGAGTGGTCAGTCCCCAGCCCAGGCCGGAAAGCAACGCATGAAGGATAAAGAACAAGAGAATGAAAGGAAGGTGGCACAGTTAGCTGAAGAGAATGAACGGCTTAAGAAGGAAATCGAGCGCCTGACCAGAGAAGTAGAGGTGACTCGCCGAGCTCTAATTGACCGAATGGTCAGTCTGCACCAAGCATGAACACTCGGGACCGGAACTTCCCCCTCGAGCCAGTACCATCCTTTCCGAGGTGGTCGTCTAACCACCATCTCACCAGTGTCAATGATGTGATCCTCAACCCCATACTTTTCGAGGGGGAAAGCTCGAGGTAGACAACAGGAAAGGGTCTCAGCATGTATATAGAGATTGCACATTTATTTATTACTGTCCATATCCATTAAAATGACTGTATGAGCCAAATTCTCACTTTTCACTTTTTCTTCTTGCCTTTAGGGGTTTCAAGGGGTTTCCCCTCAGCTAGAGTCAATTGCTTCTTCAGATCCAAGAGTTTAGCCACCTCTGCAGCAACCTGGTTCTTGTCTGCCTTTTGCGCTTTCAGTTCTCGGACAATGTTGCCCTAAAAAAAGAGGGAGGGAGTGAGGGAATAACAACAGGGAGACCAAAAAGGACCTATGTAGGATTCAAGTTTTCTAGTCTCACCCAAAGGGTTCAAGCTTCATACCTGTTTTGTCACTTCATCCATCAGCTCTTGTATCTGCTGTGATCCAGCTGTTGTCACAGTCACTACAGCTGCTGGCTTGGGGGATACTTTTGCCTGGAAAACAGTAACAGAGTTATCACCCACTACCACAAATATCCCCTGACCTCAAGATTTCTATAATGGCTCAGGGAAAGTGATTACCTTTGATGTCAAGGACTCTTCCATCTAAGACAGGAAAGGAAAACTAGTAAGTGAAGAAGTAGAGGGCCAAAAGGTGGAAAGAGTGGTAAGGACTACTTGGGGACACTTAAGGAGATGACACGGGCTGTTGCTGGCTGAGAGCACAGTCTAGGTTTCTCACCTGGCCCCCACCGAAGCGCTGCCTCAAACTTTCAATCTGGTCATTTTCCAATTTTTGGAACAAGGGACTGACCTGTTTAAAAAAAAAAGAATTCCTCAATCATTCACTGATGAGGTATAAACTCTATCCAGCTCTACAGAGGGCCTCTCCAACCCTAATCACTGACATTCAGGGACTCTAAATCTTTAGAAGAAACATGAGTGTAACACTAAAGGAACACCTGCTGATTTCAGTAAAGAATCCAGAAAAAACCTGACAGTCGCTATGAAAACCCAAAGTATTAACAGAATCCAAGACTGAACTATTCAACGATGCTAGGTTGATGCACTGCCGTTAGCACTGTAGAGGCCAGGTGACCATGGTGGTACTTCAAACATCCATGTATCATGATTTCACATGCCAGCTACTGACATGAAGGACAATGAGGAAATACGGGCAACAGAAAATGCTGGGCTTGTGAGTCAGTATTTACATCAGAAACAAGCCTCAGTACAGAATGGGGAGGAGTGCAGAAGGGTTTTAGAGAATAGACTTGAGAGTCCCATGCCCAAAGTAAGTTCTCTGACCCTCTCCAAAGGCAGAATGGCAAATGTAGGAATTTGAAGAAAGACTGGCTCTTCCGATCCTCAAGAGACCTACTGTGCCAATCTGATGTCCTGTTGGTAAGGTACACAGGAAGTCTGTGGGCAGGATACTGCAGGCAGGAGGTGGGAGCTGCAGCTGAGTCGCGATAGTCAAGCTGACTGTGGGCATGTAAGGCTGGAGCATGATGGACAGCAAAGCAGCTATATTTACTGCCAAGCCTGTCACCGTCCCTGCCCGCTGCCTAGGGAAAGAGAAATACTAGTCAGGACCTCCAAGAGGACACAGCCTACCAGATACTTGATCCCTGTAGCCAATCCTACCTCCTTACCTGTCAGCCTCACTGCCTTTAATCCGCTTCCAGGGTTCATTCACCTGAATGTACTGGTTGCCATGACGAGAGATGGTAAGGATACTGCGTAAGGCATCCCGGATCCTAGGAAGAGGGGAGTCAGGCCAAGATGTAAGGTCCTGGAGGGACCAATATGGGACTTTCAACATGCCAGCAGATCAGTGAGATGAGGTGGGTGTAGGTTACTTACCGAACCTTCTCTAGCAGCTGGTGATAGTGCTGGAGCTCCAGGGTGACATGGGCCAGCAAGCGCTGATCATCAGAGGTAAGTACCATCTCGGGCACGTAGCCCCCAAAGAACTTAGAAACGAACATCCCAGCTCTTGATAGGAGTAGGGGAGGAGAGGGGGGAGTTATTTTCCAGTCTCCTTATGGAAACTTGACCTGATTTTCCTAATTCTACATTCTCTCAGAACCAATATCTACTGGCTCCCTCAAACTGCAAGGCAAAGCTCTAACAAAGTAATTCTTTACTCTCTCCCCTAAGAATATGGCTCTGTACATAAACATAACAGACAGTTCACATACAGATATCCCTTATTTAAAGAAATTTGATAAAGGTAAGCAACAGTTTTATCTTTTAAAAAATCAACAATGATTAAGTTGAAATATGTAAATTGCCATCAAATACTCTAGTAGGGACTATCTTTTTTTCTTTTCTTTTTTTTAATTTTTAGAGAGGGGAAGAGAGGGAGAAAGGGAGAGAAACATTAATGTGTGGTTGCCTCTTGAGCATCCCCTACCAGGGACACAGCCAGCAATGCAGGCATGTGTCCTGACTGGGAACTAAACCAGCAACCCTTGAGTTCTCAGGCCAGCACTCAATCCACTGAACCACACCAGCCAGGGCTAGTAGGGACTCTCTGTTAAATGCAGTAGCCATGAAAGGTATTTCTTTAGATTGCAGAGTAGCAAATGTAGGGACCAAAAATGAAATGTGAGCTAAAGTAACAAAAATTCCGGAGTATAGTGTAAGTCTCCTACCCCTACACTGAAACAAAACCTTTCTTCGGCCAAACTTTTCAACAGTGTACAAGTGAACCTTTTTTGCAAGAACACCATTCCAATTCTACAAAGAACATTAAAAAGAGGACAATTTGCAAAACTTTGTGACCGACTTTGCTAAATCACATCTCTACAACCAACTTCTCCCAAGCATACATGGCCTACTATGTTCTAGAAGCAAGTCTCAATTGGTAGAAATACTTTCCACATGGTCCTCCCCATCCCTCCCAGCCTCCCGCCCATTCACTAGGCATCTCTGCATTCCTATCCAACTTTAAAGAGCAGAGTTAGTGCCACCCCAGCTCATCTGCTGAATGATCTCTCACCAAGTCCTACCTATTGATGAAGTTGCCCAGGTTGTTAAGCAGCTCAGAATTATTCTTTAGTAACATATCTGTCCATGAGAAGGCACTGTCCTGGCCCTCAGGCCGAATGTATAGCAGATAGAAGCGCCAGATGTCAGCAGGGATCCCTGTGTCCTGGGCCATGTCCCCAAACACTCCTATACCCCGGCTCTTTGAGAATTTCCCATCCTCGTAATTCAAATACTCTGGACAAAGAAAGAGAACGAAAGAGAACGATCTGTTCAAATCACATCCTTCCATCTCTGACCTACTAACTCTCCTTTCTTCTCTTTTGAACTCAACTGTGGGTATCCAGCAACATTCTTGAGTAGCTGGCCTAAAAGGAACTTGGGAGATAGATCCTGCCTCTCCATTCTAGCCTTTCCCTACTTTGTTCCTACCCATTACAAAGTTGTAGCTTTGGACTCCTGCTTTCTTTAGGTTCTTGTTTCCTTCTGGGTTGAGTTCTCATGTTTAAATTACTGCCTATCTCATCTCAACTCCTAACTCAAGACCTAGCACCTTTCTAAAATCCTCCAAGCATTGCCTCAGCCCTCATTCCCTAGGAATATTCCTAGTCCACTCTTCCAGGGTGTACCTGTAGCAATGAGATGGCTGACCAAGGTGTAGTTGTCCTCAGCTCCTAAGGCTGAACAAGGAAAGACTAAGCCGTGGAAAGGAACATTGTCTTTGGCCATGAACTGATAGAGGTTCACCTACAGAACATAGTTGAAAGGCAGAGCTTCTGAGACCTTCTTCAAAGACCAAAGAAAGATCATATACTCAACTCTAACACCACCCCCCCTCCACCACACACACGTATGCACCTTCCCCATAAACAGGCTAACCAAGAACTGCTTACTTGCTCTGGGTTCTTCCACCATCTCTCCCACTGGTCTGTGTAGTTGGCGGTGATGGACAGGTATCCAAAAGTGGCATCAAACCAGACATAGAATACCTAGATGGTCAAGAGGAGAGTGACATGGTAGATAAAAAACATTAGAAACACACTTGAAACCTATATAATTTTATTGACCTATGTAACCCCGGTAAGTTTAGTTTTAAAAAATTATGAAAATCTCACCAACCCCAAAGTCTCAGACTGAAACGAGACATAGCCAACAGTGTATTCTGCTGGCCCAGGGTCTCAACCCCAAGGCTGAGGAATACAAGATATAAGCAAAACACAGGATTCTTACCTTGTCCTCATAACCTTCTAAGGGTACAGGGGTTCCCCATTTGAGGTCTCGCGTTATGCAGCGTGGCTTGAGGCCATCCCTAAGCCAAGAACGAATGATGAACCGGGCATTGGGTGTCCAGTCGCTGCCAGGCAATGTCTTCCCCAACCACTCCTCAAGTTGGTCTTCCAGCTGAAATGGCAGAGACAGAGGGCTACTGTAGAAAGTCTTGTACATGGTGTATGTAACAATAAATATGTACAACCTTTCTGGAGGAGTATGACAATATAATATTAAAATTGAAAGACTCATGATTTTGACATAACAATTCCACTTCTAGGAATTTTTTTCAACAGAAATATTCACACAAGAGTGTAGAGATGTGTATATAAAAAAGTGCACTGTTCATCATAGCAAAAAATTGAAACTAATTCCTGTGGTTCAGTAGAGTTTAAACAAATCTGGTGCATCAATACAATAAAATACTTATAAGGCCATTAAGAAGAATAAGGTAGACCTATCTGTAACTGTCATGTATATATCTCCAAGATTCATTACTCATTAAATAAAGCAAGCTGCAAAACAATAAATAGTATAACCCTATTACTATAAAAGTAAATGTTAATTCATAGACTAACATAAGCTCAAAAAAATTTTTGAAGGAAAATATATACCAGTACTTTATGCTCAGAGGGGATTATGAGGAACATCCACTTTTAT